CTAGGACTTGTGTCTACTAAAGTTTCGTCGGAACGAATTTACAAAAAATCAATTATCAAACGGAGACGTAACAATACAAATACAACTGTCTGTTTCTTAAAATGTAGTTTTATGCAAGTTGTCTCAGAGAACTGTTTAATGAGGTATATGCCACACCTAATCTTTTTAATTACACAAAACTTGTGGTTCTGACAAAATAAGATCAATAACAGTCACATCAACTAATAACCATACATTTATACGCTCTGCATATCATAATAATCTAACCTACCAAAAACATTCAAATAACCCTTGAACATGTGACACTACCTATTCAACATGCTTTACAAGAAAATGTACATAGTACAAAGACAAACAAACCAGAAAGGTATTGTTATAGTGTTATGTGCATGGAAGATCTCAAAATTTTACAAATTTGAGGGAAAAGATATTGTAGACTGCTGGAGGTATGAGAAAATTGATATGTAAAGTAATTACAACACTTGATCATGAACAAACTATTATCTTTAGGAACATTAAACTGTATCACAAGTTTAATAATGTAACATCTGTAAAATGTTCAGGGCCACCGAAAGAGCTACTGAAACATGAAAAACAATCACTTGTTAAGGATGTGAAAATGTATTGGAAATTATTTGTTTCCAATAACTTAATTGTAATCTTATTACATTAAATCTGGTCACATGTGAGCAGGTACTAGCAATAAAGCTACAGTATGCTTTTCATGATATTTTTGGGAAGGCTGAGACATAGAAACTATACATCATGCCAAAACAAATACTCAAGCACCATTTTAGTTAATGCAGAACCATGAAATCTTAATTGGTTATTAATTTATAAAGAAATGAGAGCCAATTCATTTAGTTATGTTAAAAGTATGAATACAAGTATGGAGGCAGGCAGGTAAACAATATTAAAAAAAATTCAGCTTCTCAAGGACAAACAAAAAGAAATTCTATACCAAAATTTTTCATTTCTTCAGTAAAGCATTCTCAGTTAGTCAAAGGACTACATGTCTAGGTATTTTAGTATTACATTCAGAGCATATATGAATAGCAATTCAATTACAAAAATACTTTAACCAACAGAGAAAGCTTCCTTGAATAGTCTTGATTTCTTCACACTTGTCTATGAAACAATGAGGTTTTTCAGAAGTTTTGAGAAACATTTGAGTTCCCTCATCAAATATGTTGAACAATAACTTATGTTGTGCCAACTTTAAAGGATTGTAGTGTGAGTGTTATATTATGGGCTGCATCTTGTGCATGGGGGCTGTCTGTGAAGTATTGAAGTGCCCATGAATGTTAAAATATTTTAAATGAACATATTTTGGGGTCATGGTGTTTTATTTGTTCACCAAGCCAAAATGTGTTCCAGTTGCATAACACTTGCTGTTATAAAGCATGTACAACTCATGCCTTGCTTTCGAAGTATCATTCTTGATATTTTAAAAGTATCCACCCAAATTTCAGTTCTATAGAACATGTAAAGCAATTAGTTAAAAAAGTTGGACTGCAGCCTTCCAATCATCAACTGACCAAGCCTTTGAAAAAACAATGAAAATACATTCTACAGACACTTACAGGACTACATATTAAAGGCAGTGCAGAAATGAAGAGCAATTAAATTAAAAAAGCACAAGATGTTATTATGTGACTATTAGAAATGGCATTATTAATCACAATGATATACATCATGTCCTTAAATTACAACAACATCATGGGTTATTACAGTATGATTCTTTTCATATTTAACTTACTGTTAATTACAAGATAGATAAAAAAAGCTTTCTTGTGTGTGTTTTGTATGTGTGTTATGCTTCACTGAGTCATCTGTTAGCTTAAGATTTTAATTATTTAAAAACAAAAGGTCTGAAATTTTTTCTTACGTCTTTTTTCAACTTCAAATTTTCTTTCCGTAGATTATGGATCTCTGCCTTCCTCATTTCAAGAACAAGTTTCAGACTTTCCACTTCCTTCTTCAAGTCAGTATTCTGATTTATGATCCACTAAAAAGAACATCAAATTTTGAACCATTTTTTATAATGCAATCTATTTGAGTAATTTGTAAAATAAATAAATGATATATATAAGTGAAAACAATTTTAATGACAGAACATAAACAAAATCTTCCAGATACTATGATTTTACACATCTATAATAAATAACATTACATCTATTATGATAATACTCAGTTTTTGTATGTTCTTAAAATGCATGTGCACTTCATTTCAATGGATGTAAACAAAAGGTGAATATAAATATACTTTATTAGGCATTTTGTACAAAAACATATTAAAAGTTCATCAAAGTTTTAAAAAGGTTTAATATTAGGTCATAAAATAACATTATAAATTTATTCATTAATAATCAGGAATGTCGAGAGCCAGCATGATCCCTGGGGCAAACATCCTTGCGGGGCCCCTTTCTTTCTCCCTTTTTTAACATTTTCAAGAATTTATTAAAAAGAATATCCTAAATTAGGACAGCAACAAGCTCATAAACCAGACAAAATCATAGCAGCAGCCATTTTTACCTCAAAGTATAAGCATAAAAACATTAATAAAGTAACAACAAATATCTATTAAATCTATAAAGTAACAAATACATATTAATTATTACTCAAATTATTATTTCAGTCATTCTTAATGTATCAAGCATATATATGAAAAGAAAAGTAAAAAACTATGGTTTTTATCATTAAATGAAGATATAGCCAAAAGATGCTTCTCGGGCTTTACGGCATAACCAGGTTTCATTCACCTGGGCCCCTGGGCAGTTGCCCCCTTTGCCCTCCGCACCCCTGTCGGCTAGCCTGTTAATAGTGTTAAGTATGGTAAAGTTTAGTCCTAACTAAACTATAGCAAAACACAAATATAAATTACAGTGTTAATTTATCTGTTTATTGAATATATGCTGTACTTAATAAAGGCTTAACTAATGTCAGGCCTATGACAAGTGGACTTGTAGATTTCAGTTTTTGCAATTAGAATTATTTTTTATATCCAAGAAATTCTGTACTTAAAGAAGTACTGTTGCAATGATGATACTAATTTGACCACAAATATTTTGCAAGTCTCAGATTGTAAAGTAGTAATACGTTTCATTTTCTAAAAATCCACTTCACTGACTTGAAAACTATTGTAGCTGACTTTTAGGTAGGTTAAGCAACTAACAAACCTGTATCTTAGATTCTACATCTTGTTTTAGTGCTACTTCCATTGTCTCTTTCTCATGCTGTAATCCTTCAACTTGCTGTTGAAGTTCATCCTGGTTTTCAGTTAAGGATTGGATTGCGATTTCATGGCTCAGTTTGGCTACATTTAGCTTGTCTGTGAAGTTTTTCTCTAGTTCTATTAATAAGTACAAAAATTTATTAAAAAATCTATGACCTCAACGATCAGAATGTTTTTCTCATTAAGAAGTGCTGTAAAAATTACACATAGAAATAACATATGCATAAACTACAGAATAATGTCAGTTCCTTGACTTTAGTGCTGATCTTCAGTTTATCATACCAAAACACTTCAGTATCCACCTAGAAAAGTTTTAGTTTCATGTGTTTTGTTATCCCATCTGTAGAGCAAATGTGCTAGATTTTTAATAGAAATTATATTCAACATGAACTAAATATTAAATGAAATCTGTAATGTTCAGCAAATAAAATAATTGGCATTATTAAATATCTGATATTTAACCATTTTGTGGGCTGAATATTCATCAATTAGCAAATTTTTAATCAGCATTCAAATGAATAAAGTTTTCTAAAAACATCAGCTCTACACATGTAAACAACTTTGACAAGAAAATGAAATTTTCTGATCTAGGATAACAAAATTAATTTAATATATTATATGATTTTAAAAATGTTATAAGGAAGAAAAAAAGATTACTTATTGTAATATACACAATACGAAAGAAAGCATTTTATATTCTAATTAAGTTGTTTCAACCTTTCAATATCTACAGAACATTCTACTAAGTTGTATGTTTATTACTCCATGGCTAATATCTGTTTATATAATTTTCTCAGTCATTCTGATTACCATGCCATTGCCTAGTTAAAATTGTTATTGTATCAAATTGCTTATATATATATAAATAGTGTTCTGACCACTGCTGTGTTTGTTGTATACCACCAGCCTGATGAGTTCTGGATTGAGCAAAACCTCATCACCAGCAATAGATATGAAAAATATAGTGTAGTCAGAATTCTGTTATTACACATTCTTCTAATGCTTGAAAATCCCTAAAGGTCTAGATTAAGACTGTAATGTTTAGAAATGTAATAGGCCTAATACTAATGTCGTATGAGAAATATAACTGTAAATATTCTTCACCAGCTTGTAAATGGCGTATACACCATAACTAATGTTATTGTTCCAAATGGATTATATAAATATTGTTTCAACTATTGCTGCGTTTGTTGTATCATAGCCAGTCAGAAGAGCTCTGGATTGAGCTAAATGCATCATCAGCAATGGATATGACAAATAGTATGGTTGGAATACTATTACTATACACTCTTCTAATTCTTGAAAATCCCTAAAGGACTAGATTAAGATTGTAATGTTTAAAAGTTAATAGGCCTAATACTAATTTCTTATGACAAATATTACTGAGAATCTTTTTTTACCCACTACTACACAATGTTATGTGGTTATTATACCAACAGTGACAAAGTTCACATATGCAGCCTTAAACATCCAAACTTTTCAATTTAAAATCTATATATATATATATGCATACATTCAAACAAGACATGCTTTGAAGCACTTAGCTAAGACTTGAAAACTTATTTTTCTCAATGTATATATATCTATATATAACATGGCATATTTTAGACAAACTAGCAAACCCATAGAACAGGTTTCTTGAATTTTCTACTACTTAAGATAAGTCTCTCACTTTATGTTTAAAGATTTTGATTAACCCATTGGTATTTAGCTGTTGAAACAAATTTATTTATAATCAATGTGTGTACAATAATATACATGCTATGTACTTAAGAATAATAAAAATATAAAACTAAAGTAATACAGTATTTCTTAATTATTAGATGGATCATGTAAGTTTGTTATTAAAAATTAAGTAGGAATTTGATTCTTAGTAACCTAAATCTTTATATAAGCATAGTTTACTAGGTTACACAGTGGACATTCTCAATATTGATTCCTCAGTGTGATTTTTGTTTTTCATCTTCTGAAATCTCTTTTTTTGTCTCTTTGTTCTTTAACGATGGGAGCATGGAACTTACTTTTACAGACAGATAGGATAAAAAGAATCTTAAAATTAATATGTGGTGAAAATAAGCTAGAAGTAAAGAACAAGATATAATACAATGTTGATGTATTAGAATAAAATTAGTCAGATTTAAAAACCATAACTATAAAATTAATGTAAAATTTCATAGTCATTGAAATGAAATGTTGGAATATTTACATTTCAAAAGGTAACATAATACACAGTGTAAGAATCAAGTAATTTATATTTATAAATATATATATATATATATAACTGTATACTACTTTTCCCTTTATCAAATAAAGTTTCACCTGCTAAAAGCACTAGAATTTTAGCAGTTTTTAATGTGATTTACCAACCTTTATTTTTTATTTTATGTGTTTATTAATATTACGATTATATCCATGAAATTAATGGATTCAGTGTTTCATCTCCAGCCCTTTTAACTTCCAACCAAAACTTTTCCTTGCTACCAACTAATGCTGGAATATAATTAACATCACATCCCTTCACTTTGCAAAAGAAAATTCCATATCATCTAGTAAAAGTCTTTCTTGTTGATTATTATGAACTCTTTTATTTTATAATAAACATTATGTGAGAGAGAATAGTTTAATAAATATATCATAAGAAATACAAATTTGTGTTTCTAACTTGCTGAAATATTCTTCTAATATATCTTCTCTCTAACACAGGACAGTATTTGGAAAATTTGCAATGATAAATGCGGCATGTCCCCATTCTCTATTCAATCATCTTTTTGTAAAAATTTTCTCAAAATCAGAAGTAAAAAGAGAGAATTATCATAATGAAAATAATCATATTGAAAAATATGCTAAAATGTTAAAATTCCAAAACCTCTGTTATTACTCTAAAAACACAGCTTAAATTGTTTCATCACATCAGAAACTAGCAATGTTCTTTAACTATAAAAAAAAGGTATCTTGTTAAGAATAAAGATTTTCATTTTGAGTTGAGCAAAGCTTAGCTACACAAAATCTTAGAAACATTTACAGCTTTACAAAAAAACAACATAAAACAGCATATAATAAACCTGCTGACCTTCAACAAACATGCAATGTTGTTTATTTAAAGCTTCAATTTCAGAGGAATGTCTAACTTGACTATCTCTGGCAGTTGCAACATGGTGTTCAGTAAGTTCCACAATCTGTAATACAACACTTAATGAAAACTTCACATAACAACAATGTTACTATAAAATAATGCTAGTCTGATAAAGAGATGGTTATGAATACTACATGTAACTTACTAGTCTATTTCACTAAGACAATTTTGCAATAAAAATATGTAAGTTGAACAAAGAGAGGGCTATACATGATATAGAATATGTATAAAATTTTGTAAGTTAACATTTCTTATTAACCTCTTCATTTCACTAAGACAATCTTGTTATACAAAAATGTTAGTCCAACAATGATACAGAATGTGTATCAAATGTTGTAAGTTAACAATTCTTGTAAGTCTAATTAGTTCACTAGCTACTATCAAAACACAGCAGCTAGATTTTTATTAGTGGAATAGTTTTCTAACCTATGTTAAAAATATTTGGTAAAGAGAAAAAACCTGTCACATTGTTTACTTTTAAATAAATCCCATACAAAAATAAGTCCATAAATGCAAACAGAACAGACAAAATGTGGGATTAGTATGAAAGTATTTAAGTACCACCAAGAATGAATTGGAATTCAGCAGTAATATGTGGCTCAAAACATAAGACTAAATATTTATGTAGAGGCCAAGTCTGAACATAACTGCACAATATATTTGAAGAAGTCATATGTGGTCCTATGGTTCTTAGAATAGAATGACAGAGCTGTCAGTGTGTTTGGAATATATCTTTTAAACAAAAGCTGCATTTTGACACTGATGGTTCAATATCTATAACTAATTCCTTTGTGATGAAAATCTAGAAATTTAAATGAAGAATACAAAATACTACAAAAATACAATAGAATAAAAAATGAAAGTTCTATAGCTTCAAGTTAAGCTTTAATAATAGGATAAAAAGGATTGAAAATGTTGAGAAGTAGTTAATAGTGTTCACTATTTCTGACAACTAATATAAAACAACCTGACTGTCGCATTATGTTTCTTAGCTTAAACTTTATCCTTCCCTAAGAGATAAGACATGAAAATGCTACATTTGAATAAAAAAGGTGCATGTAAAATAACTTATATTATTTTTTAAAATGTTTAAGTAATTGACTGAGGTTTAAGCTTCAATATCTAACATGTTTAAGTAAACCACTTGGGTTGAACCTTCAATATCTAACATGTTTAGTAAACCACTTGGGTTTAAGCTTCTATATTTAGCATGCTTAAGTAAACTACTTGGGTTGAAGCTTCAACATCTAACATGGTTAAGTAAACTACTGGGTTTTAAGTTTCAATATCTGGTGCTAGTTTCCTAAAAAAAAAAATGCCTAATAGTTTAAACCACTTTCATAATACAATAATGTAATTTTATTAAGAAATTCTAACCACAATTAAGCTGACTATACAAATCACAATAAAATATTTTAACACATATATTACTGACAATAATCTGGTATAACAAGTTACCTAGAAATACTAAATGTTATAAGTCAATACACTTCAAAACTAAAACCTATGATGATTAAATTGCAATGAATCATTTGTGTGGTACCCTCATTGTTAGCATTTCTCATAAGGTTCAGCCAGCATTGGGGATTTGGGTTAGTACTAAATCCATACAATAAGGCATCAATAAGACATCATATTCAGTGCCTACAATATTAACACTATCTCACAAAACTTAGACAGTATAGAGGAGTTGGGTTAGTACTAAATCCATACAATAAGGCATCAATAAGACATCATATTCAGTGCCTACATTATTAACACTATCTCACAAAATTTAGACAGTATAGAGGATTTGGGTTAGTACTAAATCCATACAATAAGGCATCAATAAGACATCATATTCAGTGCCTACATTATTAACACTATCTCACAAAATTTAGACAGTATAGAGGATTTGGGTTAGTACTAAATCCATACATTGCAAAATTATATTCACTGAGTGAAATAACATTTAAAAAATTATTTCAAACATTATAACCATATAAAAGTTAATGCAACTAAATATAAAGAAAAAATAAATTGGTTATTACTTACAAAGCACAGTATTATACCAATTATTTATATTATATGCAAATACATGAATATTTATAAATAAAGTCATGTATTGGAATGTTTTGTGGATCTAAATAGCAAGTAATTGACATACGACTGTGCTTTATAAGTAATAACCAATTTTGTCTTTCTTTATAGTTAGTTATGTTAAATTTTACTGGTTGAACGTCAAAACTAGTGGATGTTACAAAATTAATAAGAATTCATAATAAATGTGCATGTTAATTCATCAGAAAAAATAATAGTATTATTATATTTAATAAAACATTACATAAAAAGTACAGCAAAAATAATAAATACTTGGATAAAAATTAAGGTGTATATAAGGGGAATTTGTCATTTAACCTACAAAAATAGGCTGAAATTTTAAAACTTGATATTTTTTATTGTAATGCAATACTAGATGCTTTGATGCTTAAAATGAAACATGGTATACAGACCCCTGACAACCAGCTGCTTGAATATGATGTACTTTCTGAAAAGCCATTCTGCTTTGAAGTTAATCAGAAAGTACAGTAATGAATGTCACTTTTGATAATCAAATATTTATATGGGATAAAAATACATGCTGTTGAATAAGTTAAAGGCACAAACTTCATGGTTCATCAAATCACCAACATTGAAGTGTTCCATGAATAGATAAAATAACTGTGTTTTCCTTTCTTCTAAAGAAATTAACTAATATCAATTACTGCACTATTGAAGATTTTATTCATCTGTAGATTATCCAAAATAAACTAAAAATATTTTATTAGATTTTTTACATGTAGACAAATCTGTAAATATCCAGAATAATTACAAAAGCATCAGGTAAAAAACAAATTGGTGTGTTTTTGAAGGGTTCATTAAAGCTTATGTTAAAAAAAGGCAACTTAGTGGTATATAATTTACCAAAAGACTTACTGAAAACAAAAGTTTTAATAAACTGACTGTTCATTTTTCTTTGATATTAGCAGAACCACACAAATTCTTTAAAATTCTGATATGAGAAAAATAAAAAGTTTATAATAGTCCATAGTTTTCTCAAAATTATACACTTAATATCTAAAACAATTAAGATTTCAAAAAATAGTATTTCACCTTTGTTTCATGCTCAGTTTTCAAAGTTTCCAACTCTTGTTCATGCTTCAGAATCACTAGAGAAACAAACAAACTACTGAAAACATAACTGAAAGGAACAATTCACTTTAGGCTAGCATTTGTTCTCAGATTATAGTTAGTGACATTTGTTTCCTTTCAACTTAGAATTTTGTATCTTAGCCACTTCAACTTTTTTTTAATGACAAATCATAAAACAATTTGAATTTGTGTTTAGTTTACAATTTCACATAAGTAATTTATATCAAATTTTTCTATAGTACTATAGATAGTTTTGTATAGTAATATAGCTGGTATCATAACTATATTTTAATCTTTGAGCAATTTATAAGCAACAATAATATTCTGAACATTGTTAAAAACACATTACAAGTCTCAAGAAATGGAACATGAAATGATTTTAGTAAATTAAGATATATTTTCATATTAATCAGTTTTTATACAAATCTCAATGAAGCTGCAATGGTGGAATGTAGTTTGCTAGAAAAAATGTTTTTAAATTATCTGGAGAATGGAAGTCATTTTTCTAGCTCTTGTTGTAAATTTTGTCTAGCATGTCGAATTAAAAAAATAATAAATTTTACACAGTTACTTCGTCATAAAAGGAAATGAAACTCCACAGCCTTCACTTTGGAAAATAAACTGAAGACTACTCGAAAATTACTTGGTTCTAATTATCCATGGTAAATACAAATAGCATCTACTTTGACATTAAGAACTAAAAATACAAGATACTTATATTATATAAATCTTAAGCTTCTTTACTTTCTTTTACACTGAAGTACAACACTTTCTTGTGAGATTAATTTTTTGCTAAATTAGAATAATTTAAATGTAAGCTTACATCCTAATTTGTTTATCAAGTACTATTGAAAGATGTTACTTTCTGAAGTATTATATTCAAAATGCACATACTGAAACTGAGAGTGAAACAGATCAAAATTATAATCACACAACTTCAAACATGTTGGGAATAAAAGCATAAGGAATACAATATTTCCAAACAAAAAGTAATTAATATGGAACAAGTTTAAATTAATGGTTCTCAAACTTTTTAACTGCCAGACCATTAAATCTTTTCTGTAACTCAGTGGACCACAGTGATATATATATACAACTTACTGCTGCTTCCCTTCCATAATCATGCAACAATTTCATGGACCACCTGAAGGGAGCTGCACAGTATCGATTGAGAACTGCTGGTTTGAATAATACACTCAATTATGTTCTTAAAAATAAGTAAAATTTTAAACCTCACTATTAAAAAATTAGTAACATATTTGCAGTTAATTTTGATATTAACTTTACACTTTACATGATGTATAACACATTTGAAAAGATAATGAACGAGTTTCATAGTTGTAAAAACTAAACACTTACACCTGTCCACTTCTTCTCTCTGAGCATCTTTTAACTTCTCTGTTAAGGCTTCTATCTCGTCTGTGTAGAATCTCTTTAAATCTTCAATCTCATCCTGGTATTGCTCTTGAAATATACATAGAGTATCTGGTATTTACACCATGTTTCCAGTTCAGTTACAACTTTCTAGTCACCACAAACAATACCAGCTGATAAGATATCTATACATATATATGAAACTTGGGAAAGTTGAAAACCCTCTTAATGATGTATCATCAGTCTACAAACACAAAAACTGATAAGTGCAAGTTTCTTATTTATTCCAGAAATAAAAACTTTCTGTTATCAGAATTAGAGAATTGGTTATCAAAGTACATTTATTTCAAAGTCACATATCATATAACTCGCAGGTTATATAAATGATTAGCTAAAACAGCAAAAATTTCAAGTTTTAATAAGTAGAAACCTTATAAGTGTAAGAGAGAGTTCATTCAATTCTGAAAATGTTTCATCAATAGATGACCCACCCATACTACAAGTTCAAATTTTCTCAGTAATAATAACAAAAAAAGTAGTTGTCTACCAATTATTTTATAATAATACAATAAATATAATCAGTATTTCATAATACAAATAATAGAATTAAAAAAGCAAATGCTTATTTTCTGTTAAAGGTTTCTTAATGTTCTTCATAATAGCATTTCCAAAACTGGTAGAATAACGAAGCAACGAAATGTTAACTAAACAAATTTACATGCTGTAAATAACACAACTACCCCAGAGAACTGGTTGAGAATTAACCATATGTAGCAGTAATAAGCTAATTTCTTACAATTACTTAGAACCCATGTTATATCTTTTTTTTCACTCTTTCTCTGATGTTGAGAAATAGTGCGATGCTACCTGCACTTGATCTTCAGAAAATTAAATACAGTGTATGAAGATAAATGGTATGCTAAGTAGTATGACAGTTTTAATCTACTAAGAGTATGGTGTTAAACCTCAAATTACTCTGTATTGTACACTATTGGTAGAGGTCTATATATTGCATCATGTGCTGAATAATTTTTAGGTTTTTGCCTGTTACAAATTTATCGTATAGAACTGACTACATAACTTTGGTTAAATCACCTATCTTCTTTGCAAAATACATTAGGAACACTAGCGTTAATATATGATATTGTTGCGTCATCGAGATCACGTGACAATTCTCACGCCCTTTGTTTCTAGAACTATCATGTACTTTGTCGAATGGTCTAGTAATTACTAGA